CCTACGGGAGCTATCCACTGTTATTTCGATTTTATTTAACCAGTATTATATGATAATTGGCAATTATCCCATTTGTTTATGAAATTAAAATTTCATTAACCAAAGGTAAGTATGCAATCTCTTATATGAACATAAAAACTAATATGCGCCTTCGGCGCTAGTTTTAAAACATTTACAGACTGGTGTACCCAAAAAATCACATTTAATATGTCACCAGGTTGTTTTTATTTTCTTGTGATCTTAACCATTTCTTTGATGTACCTTAGCTGATATTATTCAAAATCAAGACAGAATTTTTTGTTCTCAAATGTAACTATCTAATTAATAATAATCATAAATATTTTGTGAAAATATGAGAACCGTGACATTTATGTCTTGAGAATGAGTATTTATTACTTGTTTGCAGATAAAAATGAGTGTGAACACAATCCCTGCAGAAACAATGGTACTTGTCTTGATTTAGTTGCTGATTTCCAATGTATTTGTCAGAATGAATGGAAAGGCAAGACTTGTAATTCAAGTAAGTATAAACTATATTCATAGTTTACCAGCCTTATATGTATGTGTATCTATTTTGAATCACTGATATTTCATTGCTTACAATGTGTGTGCTTTTGGATACTCAGCAGACCTTCAAATATTCAAGCGTTTTTAGCTCATCTGTCGACTTTGTCAAGCTGAGCTTATCATATGAGTGATTGTCCGTCGGTGTCTCTCGTCATCCATCTGTTGTTGTCTGTGTCAACTTTTTACATTTTTCGACCTTCTTCTTGAAAACTACAAATCTTATTGCTTTGATACTTAGTATATAGGTACCTTAGGTAAACCTCTATTTGATTTGTTCATTTCCTGATGATATTTTTAATTCTCTAATTTTGATGAATATTTTTGTCATTTTTGGTAAAAAGTGATATTTTCGACTTCTTGTCAAAAATCGCAAGTCTGATTGCTTTAATTTATTTAATAGGTACTGCAAGTAGACCCATTTCAAATTTGTTCATTTCATTATTAGTCCCCGTTCGGACGCAGTCCGAAAACGGGGACTTATGTTTTGCCCTGTGTGCGTCCGTCCGTTCGTGCGTCCGTGCGTCCGTGCGTCCGTGATCACCTGTATCTCGAACATGCATGGACCGATTAAGTTCAAACTTCACTCATACGTCACACATTATATGGGACATATGCACATGCATTTTTTTCATGATCCGATTAACGATAGCCGAATAGCGGCCATTTTAAGGCCGAAAATGCATCAAAATCGCACATTTTCACCATTCCGGACCCGGATCTCAGTTATGCATGGACGGATTTTGTTCAAATTTGGTACATACATTAAACATAATAGGACCT